CAGTTTTATGAACGTTCTGTTTAGTGGAATGGAAAATATTTCGTGATGATGGTTATTGATACCACGCGGGAGGATATTAAATTCGAAGGGTGGGAGTTTCCGCTCAACTTAAGTGAATGGACCCGAACATAAACCCCTTTACTCGCCCCCTTTTCAGACAGGGTTCATTGTGTAGCATGGTTCGTTCGGAACCCCCAGGGATATTTTATTCGAATATTTTCAAAGTCATATTTCACTCGAAATTGAAATTGAGGTAGCTAGTCTATTGTCTTTGGTACATAGAGATTCTAAACATTACTCTTATCATTTTTTTAAGGTTCATAAAAATATGATTCATTTCTTCCTGCAAATTTGATTTCTCTAAACACGTATGAAACTAGGAATTCTCACATTAGTTATAATATACGTTTGATAGTTGCATGAAAATCACGATTATCCGTATTTATACGCATTCAAGTTGATCCTTCTAATTCCGGAAACTTGATATCTTGATCGACACGCAAGTCCGGTTCCAGGAAAGGGTTGATCTCCTGCTGCGTGTTCGCAATCGAGTCTTCTTGTTCGACGTGGTTTCTCGCCATAGGCGCGTTGCCAGGTGAATCGTGGGTTAATTTGAAAAAAAAAAGAAAAAAAAATCGGAGACTTAAATAAAAAGAATACAGTTATCGTGATTGACAGGGGCAATTTAAAAGAGAGATCAAAACTGTTCGAAAACAGCTTTGTCAGTTGTTGGCATAGCTATCAAGTTAGCTTGTAGAAAGTCCTTTAGCTTAATAGCAATCTTATAAATTCATTTGTTACCCCCAATATATCATACGAATTGTGCCATAAACCCGAGAATTTCAGAAGAACAATGCTAATTGCTTTTTAACGACCGGAAAGGAAGGAAACTCGAGGCGTTACTCAAAATTTTGACCATTGAATTTCTAGAAAAGGACGTTAGAGATCCAATTAGGGAAAGGGAGAATAAGGATATTTGTACTGTTAATTGTATTTAACTGTAATATGTCACTTTGGTTTTGCTTGTGTTGAGCAGCAGACAATTATAGTTGGCCCTTCGTATCCGCAGTAATTACGTTCCAAATCCTACCACGAATAATACCTAACTTTCAGAATTTCGAACCGTGGATACAGGAGGACGACTGTATAAATAGCAAACTTACGCGGCCAGGAGGATCCAAATAACAAAATAAAAATAAGGAAACGATTAACGCGGTCTAAAAATCGTTTTTGATATCGTTGTTCATTGAATCCACAAAAAAATCGAAAGTGTAGAACAAAACAAAAATTATTTTCAAGGATTATCGTAAAAATCCTCGAACGAATCGTCATGTACCCTGCAATTATCCACTTAATATCGGTGAGCAACGGAAGTGGAGCAATTTGGGTGCGTAAAAAGTCCGGCAAAAAAGGCAGATGGATAGATTATCCATGGAGTACCGTTGCTCAAATGAAACTGTATCACTATGAATTTCATTCACTGCTATAACGATGTTCAACCATAAAGTTGATTACCACACTTTTGTAATTAGTAATTTCTTTGTCCTGTTCAATTGCATTTTATGCGGTGTAGACAGACGAGGTTTATTGGGAGACGTGCGTTACCTGTACCGTTCGATTCCTACTAATAGTCTCGTCCCTTGTCTCCTCTTCTTTTCCTTTTGAAATATCGCTGGCTCATAAAATAAATCAACCAAAACGATTCGATGATGAGACTTTAACGCGAGGTACCGTTTGTCATCCTACGGTGGTCCGGGGATGATGGGTCTTCGGTTCGATGGTGAATATCGACCAAGTACGGTAGCATCGAACGGAAAGATAGTTGCCGGAGATTTGTCAGAAATAAATGTTGCTTTCTCTAAATAGATAAATGATTAAGGCCGCATCAACCAGGTGATTATTGGGTTGGTAAGAAATTAATATCGTTTTTTGAAATATAAAAAGTTTAACTCGATTTGATGATAAATTGTAGGAAAATACCGTTATGACATTTTCGAGGTAGCATTCGAGAATAATTTCGCAGTCGGTATACGCCGATCGATCGTTTCCATTGTGTGCAATTCATTACCTCTAATTGTTTCGAGCGATTTGATTGTCAACGATAAGGACGCGGTTGTGGCATGTCCCGAGGAGTTTACAGGTGCAAATTGCGAGACCACGATAAATACAATTTGCAAGGTTAATGACCGTTAAACTGGCGGGCCTCGTCTGACAATTATACCGAACAACATAATTCAGCGTTATTATGCACGCCTGGCTGAATAGGAATCCCTGCGAAGGAACAAAGCTTCAATTATCTCCCGTTCAATATCGGACAGATTTTCCAGCAATAAATATCGACAATAATCTGATTGATCCAAGGAAATGTTCGCGTGTCTTGTTGCGTAATTACACGACGATTAATGAGTATCACGGATCGAGAATTTAGAAAAGCTCTGCGTGTGCACCGGTATGTTACGTAAACCGAGAATCTCTTTTTCCTCTCGTAGCATACCGGAGAAATACTAATTTCGTTTTCAGTGCAACGCTCCGCCCGGTTTATGAATATGAAGCGGGAAGGATAAAGAAGCAACCGATACGGTAAAAAGACTCTTGAAGCGTAAAAACGAACCGGCCGATCTCATTTACCGGCCACTTTTCACACTCCGCGACCGCCCGTACTGTTATTCAAACAGTCAATGTTTGAGAGGCGTGCGAGATGACACGTTTCTTCTTCTTCTTCTTACCTCCCGCGACGAAAAGACGATTAACGAAAAGTTAAATGCGTAATTTTTAAGCGAGAGAATTATTTTTAAAGGAGGCTCTCTCCATGGTCCGCCGTTCGATGGTAGAACGTTCACGGTAACATCCTGTTTCCTTGATACAGGCATTCGTTGTTTCCCTTCCTGAATTTGATACCTGACTTTCGGCCACTTCCGGATTTCCTTCAAAATGGCGTCGCACAACAATGACTCGCTTCTGTTCGTTGTACACGCTCGAAGCGTTCTCCTCGACCTTCTCTTCCTCTCGTGTCTCTGCGGCCCGAGTAGATCCGTATCAGCGATCCTTTCTCGAAGCTAGCATCTCAAACGTAACCGCAGACGACCATAAATACTTACGTGGTTGCAAGCGTGCCCATGGAGATCCGTTCGTGTACCGAGGCGTGCACAGCAATCGGTACCGCGTGCGTTCAGGGTGCTTTCGTGCGCCTCGAGCGGGTTGGAAAAACTGCTGGCAATTCCGCTCGGGACCGGGATCGTGTTCCTCGTAATGCCCTTATGACTGCCTCCGGTTCGGGTCCCTGAACTCGATCGATACGATGGAAAATCGACCCCGAGAATTTCTCATTTATCAGAGGCGAGATAAACGATTGAAACCGCAACAGGAAGCGATCGAAGGTGATTCGCAGCGATCCCTTCCTATGTGCGATTCTTTCTATGTTTTCTTTTAATTAATTTCCATTTTTCCGCGTTCTACGCTCGGTGAATTCAACAACGAGGCTCAATTAGAAATCCTAATTGCGTCAAGATACAATTTACACGGTTGGTCAATGAATGCTGCCTCGAGCCACGTTTTTACGCTTATTGTTAGCCGTACAACTGTGAGCCGCGTTATCTCCTCCTCATCGGGGCTCGCGCATAAACGGCGTTTGCAAAATCATCCCAGCATCAAAGTACAAAATTTCTTTTTCCTTTTGAAACGTTAAAAGTCAGGATTAAGGATCGTGATGTCCAAGGACTCGGCTTGGGATCGCGATGTTATTGCTCGTTTCCATCGGCTTTATCACGCAGGTGCGATCCTCTCCGATCGTGTTGTACATGCGGGAAAATGAGTCATCGGCTTGATCGAAGGAAATGAGGTTCGAGTGTGTTAAAAGAGTGGTAGCCATCGCGCGTTGTATTTCTTAGACGAAGAATCGCGGTGGATACCCGTACTACGTGTATATTATTCAAATGGCCGTGTTTAGAAGCGAGATTAGAAGAAGCTGGCGATTATTTTTACACCGTTCCAAGTATCTCGGTCTACAGTCTGTTAATGGTAATCTTCGTTACCTGGAAAAAGCGTATACTCGAAGGAGAAACGAAAGAAAAAAAATGAAATATAGAAGAAGATACTTGCTTTCAATGGTATGCTGCCTCATACGGGTACTAAAATTAAATGCTACTCTCTGTTCCAGAGATTTATGCCCGTGCCTAATGGAATGCAATTCCTTTTTACTTTGTTTAATATGTAGCTATCTTTTAACCATATTTTATGTATTTATGGAAATGATTAAAAACACGGATAACGGTAACCGAAATTGAATCTGCAAATTGAAGAATAGTAGAAGTTCAATAATTACATTTCAATTTATGTTGAATCAATACAAAAAGGTGACAATTAAATCTATTGTGCTGAAAAGAGAAAGTAGAAAAGAATTGCTAAATAAGAGAAATAAAAAATTAGTGACCGAAAGTCTTAGTCATTCATTCCTCTTTGACAGTTTAATTATAGAAAAGCCATTATGTCTCATCAATCCTATGTAGACGTTGACCAGAAAGATCGCAAGATAAGGTTGATACTTCTAAAAGATCAACCCGTCTTGTAACGGTACCCTTTTTGGTAAGATTCTCCTCTATCCAGTTTACCATAATCGATAGTTCCTTTCGATACGGCTATTGGAGCACTGCTGCGTCCGTTGCATGAATTAAGCCATTATAGTTTGTGCCCCATGGGGTCTCTCCATAGATTATCGATCCAATCACACGGCTCGTTCGTTTTACGAAGTCCGTTCGAACGATTTCTCGCTGTCCTTGGAGGTACGAGCTCGCTGTTATTCGAGCTTCGATTAAAGAACTACCCTCGAGGATCGTATTTTCGCGATCGACCATTTTCCAAGTCACTGCACGGTCTTTTGATATCGTCGCTGCTTTAGCGCTGCTTTTTTCCTTTTAACCCTTCGTCGAGTAATTTAATTTAATTTAATTAAAACATTACTTTTTTGATATCTCAAAAGTGATAATAATAAAATTATAAGCGAGTCGATTGTTGTTAGTCTATTTTGTTGCATGTATACGAAACCAAACCAGACCGGTCGTACATTATTGTACCATGATTACAGCGAGCCATAACGAGGCAAAACGTGACTTAACAAGGCTGTTATTGTTGCGATTATGTTAATTTACCGCTATCGAGGGCAACCGGTCGTGATAGTAATGAATAACCGAAGAACCGATTATACTGTACTTCGTTGTACCCCACTAGGATACACTTACTCCTCGTTTAATCCATTTCCAATTTAATACTCTACTCTTACGTCGCATTTGACACAATTTATTTCAATGCATCTCCACTAAATTTATCGGAACTTGGAATTTTTTTTCTTCCATCCATTCACTTTTCATTGTTAAAACCCCTTCAAATGTCTAATAAAAAAATAATCTCAATATTCTAATTAAAATTCCTTTCCGTTCTTAATTCAAAAATTTCAAATAAATGCCACTTGCATCCCCCCACTTTTAATATCACCAAATGAAATATATCACCAGGTAGTGGACTCTAGTTATTTCATAAACGAATCCATTCTTTTATCTCGACCATTGATCAGCAGGTTCGTGGTTCGTTCCTCACTCGGGAACGAAATCGTTCATCAGACACCTGTTACCGCGATCCCATTTATCTGGACATTTTTATCAGGCTAATCAAAGTTGTAATCGAGTCACTTGGAACAGGAACCACAAGTCGTGGTGATCGAGTCGCGTGGGTAATAATTGATAAATATATTCGATCGCTCCAACAACCGTGTCCGCGTGATTATTATTCATTGTGCAACTTGTAGCACATTCATGGGACATAGATATGCGATAACGTCGCAAATAATTAACGTTGAATTATTCGTTCCGCCTGGAATACTCGTTCATTCGTCGGCGTAACTCGCAGCCGGGTAATTTCAAGTGCAATGAATTCTTCAGCCCCGCTCGTTGGTCAGTTCTCGCGATCCTCGCGTTTTCCACGGCCTCTGCTGTTCCACCGAGCTCTCCTCGGCATCATCTCCGCGTGACACGTACTGGAACGAAGCGAAGGACGTGGTCGGTAGGCCGTGAAAATATGGATGGCAAAGCCGTCTCGTTTCCTTCAACTTAATACCGATTATACTCGACGCTGTGCTCCAGCCGCGTGCCAGATTCTTTTCTGCCTCGAGGAAATTAACCCGCGAAAGCACATCCCGTTTCGGGGAGATGTTTCCGTGACATTCGTTTAATTTTCTTCGAGCAATTCCAAAGAGGAATCAGTGTTTTGCGACCGTTTCTAAAATAAGCCTCAATTTAATGTACTATTTCACGGTTAATCAGGGGTTGAAATGGTAAAAATGGCTGAGCATTTATTCAGAGGTTAAATTAATTTGGAATATTCTATTAAATAATAAACGCGAATGGACGGTTGACGAGACGGAATTAACCAAAGTCCCGAAAACATTTAACGAACACTGATTTGTCGTCTAATAAATGTGTCGGGCTTCCGCTTAATCCCTGCGACAAAGGATCCGGGTCCGTTATTTTGTCGGGTCGCGTTAAGTACCGAAATAAACGATAATCCTGGTCTGGACCTATGACAACGAGGGTGAGGGTGGGCGAGTATTGATTTTATGGGGGTATCGGCTCCGGGAACCACCGAATTTCTCATCCCCTCTTCGCACTGGACCTGTAACGACCCTGTGCAAAGGACATTTCCATCGCGAGAACGTTCCATTTTAAGGTGATTCAAGCTGGACAAATTCGTTTGTGATTTATTTAAGTCCAGATTTTTGGTAAAGCAAATATATATGAATTTCTACGATTATAAATCTCGTATTCAGGGATTTTCTTCGTTCAAACCGGGCCATCTTTCTTCTCTAACAATAATTTTCTTTCATTTCTCAGGCAAGTTTGCTCTCCAGTTTTTGTAAAACATCAAGGTATCAATCATAGTAGAGCCAGGACGCGTTAGCTGGATTTCACCACTATAAAAGGAAGCATTACTCTTTATCTACAGTCTCTGCGCACATTTATTCTTGTAAGTATTTTATGTCTGATCATTTTTCTTCATTTTCCGGATTATCATCTTCGTCTTCATTCGAGCTAAAGATTACAAAACTTCCGTGAAACGTTGTTACAAACGTGAACTTTGCTTTTAATCGCATTTTTATCACTTTGACGATATTCTGCACACCTATTTCACCACCTTCGATTATTTACCTTACTTTAGATTCCGAGAAGGTAGAAGTTGGCACAGATCAACGAGATTTCTTCCAGAGGCAAATAAATAATCATCGCGGGAGAAAGAGGAATAGCAGAGGCTCGCGATAGTCCGATCGAGGATCGGCAAAGAGAACAGGGGACGACGGTGATCGACGTGTTCGCGGAACCGTGCCAGCGATATAAAGATCTTCGCATTCTTTCAGACTCTTCTATTTTTGCATCGTTCACGCCACGACCACCGGTTTGTTGAACAATTCAACCGCGTCGCAACTTGGCACGTACCAAAGAAAAATTGCCAAGCGAAGCAACTCCGCGACAAGGTCTGTGTTTCGTTAGGGCAGCTCATTGGAATTTCGCATTATCGTTCAGCAGGGGTTTCGTTGACCCTGACGTTTGGCGAACACCGACTTCTTCCATCGAAGTGAATCTATGAAAATTTCCATAAAAAGGTATCTATACTATGGCTAGTTCTATGGGATCTTGGTTAATAAAAAAGAAACACTTATAGAAGTATTTTTATTTTCAACAAATTTTATTTGTTTCCATATTTCATTGTACTTATAATTAGGTAAGTCATTACTATAGAAAATCAAGTCCTGGTAATCAAAGTCTTAAGTAACAATTAAGCTCCGCTATTAAGACGGTTCATTTTATTTTTATAATTCGATTCATAAATTGGTCAACACCGACTTCTTCCATCGGAGTGAATCTATGAAAATTTCCATAAAAAGGTATCTATACTATGGCTAGTTCTATGGGATCTCGGTTAATAAAAAAGAAACACTTATAGAAATATTTTTATTTTCAACAAATTTTATTTATTTCCATAATATTTCATTGTACTTATAATTAGGTAAGTCATTACTATAGAAAATCAAGTCCTATTAAGCTCCGCTTTAAGACCGTTCATTTTATTTTTATAATTCGATTCGTGTAAAGGGACTTTTCAATGGATCCATTAGAGATGTACTCCATCGAAGCTCCGCTATAGATACACCTTCTATTTTTATGTGCCCGCAGGATGATCAAGAGTCAGGTCACAAAGTTTCCATGGTTGGTAGCGATCGTACGAGGCTCATTGGTAGCAGCATCTCGCGCGGAATAGTCGTAAAGTTGTCCCGAATCGGCGGAACTCTTTCGCATGGCCTCACACGTTCCACGGCAATCCCGATTGGATTAGATGCACCGTTGGCGAGCGCAATGTGTCTCGCATATTTCCGTCACGCTCGGCCGATCCTGTGCCTCCGTGGCGCCAGCCGGTGCCCCGTCTCCCTCTCTTTGCTCCTTAACTCAAGACCCCCCTTTCGTTCCTTGCCACCGTGTCGAGGCTGTCCCGGTGCCAGGATCTGGTTCGATTACGGGCCAGTTCGACGAACGACGGAAAAATCAGCATCGCTGATAACGACCGATGGGAGTTTGAACGACGACCCGACCTCGCTCCCTCCCGACGACCGCGTCCGACTTCCGGTCTTTCGTTTCAGAAAAATGTCTTCGGTTCAGAGGTAGGTTTACATTGTATCGAAAACATTCCGCACCGCTAGCAGCAGGGCAAAAACGAAGACTCGGCGTCGCGGTACCATACGTCTACGTGAGGCAATTTGATCCTGCGTTTTTGCGCAAGCACGAGCGTTCCAGGTAATGAGCGACGCTTTGCTTTTTCCTCGCTGTGGACCTCTTTTTTTTTTCGTCGTCTCTTTAAGATACACCGTTATGATTCTGTAGGAGGACCGAGAGTACCGGTATCCACGAAATGGCCGTGCTCGATTTCGTCGTCGAATACCGCAGGTATGCATTTTAGTAGGGTAAAAGGTAAGAAACTAGACATTTTAATTTGAAAATTAATCTTTATTAGTCTCATAGTACAGGATCATTTTCATTCTGACATTTAACGTGTTATTATAGAATCTTTGAGGAAACGAACTTCGAACAACAGGAGTCATCGCGAATAACCCAAAGTCATCTGATCATTCCGCTCGCATTTAGATTCCGTTTGCGAGCCGTTACGCGGTGGAAAAAGAAGGGAAACGGAAGATCCTGCGAGGTCGGTGAACACCAGCCTTTGGTGTCCTAGCGTAGGTCGAAGACAAAACGGCGATGTTCGATGGTCACGGTTGAAAAGTCTCTTCCCCAATTTCGTTTTTGCTAGTCGGGTGCCGTTTGTTCCTAGGTGAACAGGTGCTGGATGAATGATACCAGAGCGTTACATGCACCGGATAACGTCACGGAAGATTTAGTTACAGCAACTGGTTCTACGGTAGTCGATTGAACGTTGTTCGGTCACCGAGGACCCTAGGCAATGGCATTTATATTCAACGAACTGTCGGCTGTACGCTTCAGGTTTCATCTTGCTTGAACTAGAACTACCGCCCCGTTCGATGCAGACTTATTTTTAAGCCGAAAATAATGTAGATTAATAGAATTTCATATTTCATTAATAACTTTTAAAAACCATTATAACCCTTCCTTCGAACAAGTGGTTTCCTCTTGTTCGTCATAGATGGTAAAAAACCAACTTAGTCAGAACTGGGAAAAACACGATCACTCACCGATTTTCCTTCTAATGACAGCTTCTTCAGGGAAGAGGTAAAAATAATCTGGCGCACCAGTTGATTCATTAATTTCGCTTATTCACGAAACCGCAAACTTGCGAATTAAACTTTCTTGCTTGTCATTAACAGAGTCGTTTGATGATAAAAAGAAACTTAAGGTTGCTGCTCCTGCTAATAATAGGTACGAAAAACCGGAATTCGATTCGGTGGAAAAATTATTTTGCAAAATAATGACACGAGGCTGGACGTGTTCAGTTTTCCGATAACGTTACGACATCGCGATGCAAGAGGTGTCCGGGGGCGGTTCCGATGGCTCGCCATTAAACGGTCAAGAGCTGCTCTCGCGGCAGTGTTCCAGCGTGGACAAAAAGGAAGAAGGACGTAAGGACAGGTCTGGCGCGATTATAATAAAATCACAGTTTGTTCCTGGTCGGTTCCCGCGTGTTCCCACAGGGCCCACTACTGCCGCGGTCCACCTACCGCATCCGCCAAGGTAACTCGTTGTTCGCTTTGCATACGCGTCGTTTCGGTCAACGGACTCGTGTAAGTGAATCGAGCGAGGAAGGTGGCTCGATCTAAATGGCTGGATACACGTTTTCGAAACACCTCAAGGGTTTGCGATTTTTACTACGATTATTTGCTTCTTCCTTTTACGATTACCCTCAGTGGACGGATTTCGGATTTTTTGTTTAGGAAGAAACATCGTCTCGTAATAAGGTGACGAAGAACTATGTTGGCTTTTTGAAAGCCTAGACAGGAGCCTGGTAACGGTGCTGGTAAACTAATAACGACGCCAGGGATAATGGAAAAACAGTGATAACAAGGAATCGAAATTCGTAAGAATTCCTTTCATTTAAGCCGATCTAAGGGTACGTTTCAAATTCTCTATCTTGAAAGGATCCTCTGTCTCTAAGATGTCTGACATTTGAAAGCATAGCCGAGACGAGAGCGTACCTGTTAATTTATCAACCGTCTAGCGGACAGTTCTCGAAAGGTTCCAGTGTTATCTTCAAACGAGCAGAGGCGTACGCATGGAATTCGACTTTGTTCGTCTTTTCTTCACCGATAAAGGAACCACCGACCCTTTTCAGATCTTTTTTGAAACAATAACACCGGTATCATTAACGGTGCTCTCCGTCACTTGTTCTCCTTCTATTGATTTCAAATGTTTTAGCTATTACACGCGTCCACTTCCATTTGGATTTCCGGCACCGTGAATTTAATATAATTAAATGACTTAACAGTTTGATGACCGCATATTTCGTGGTACCATTGATTCTTTCAGTTTCAAATTCATTTTTATATCTTAATAATAGACGGCTAATAGAATTATATTTGAGAGGTTTATAGACCAAACGCCACGTGTGATTAATGCTTCTATCGTAATTAGAGCGAGGTGTAAATTTGAAAAAAAGTGATAGATGAATGACAGTAGGAGCGAAATGTCGAGGATGACTGTTTGATGGTGTACGCGTGGCTCGAATGCGTCGATTAATATGGGAAACGCGTGAGCGTGCTTTCGCCCATTTTTAAGCATTCCCTGGTCGGCCCTCGACCCATCTGTTAGGATAATAATTTCAAAACTGACATAATGACATTCCGGTCGTGCCGGCTTTTACTGACAATGAATCGTCCGACGAACGTTAACGGCCCTGGGATACGTCGGACACGTACGATCCACCGTTTCATGTTCTCGCGTTTTATTTTTTCTCTTTGTTGATTATTTTAATAATATTCATAATATTTTAATAAATCAATCGGTTTTTGAACAATCTGATGCGAAAGCCCATCAATTCGTTTACCAGTAAGGTTACTTCAATTTGTCTGTCGGATATTCGCTCCCGATAAGTAATTAAACGACCAACGGATTGATAAATTGTTCGTTAGGACAGATTGCTCGGACCCAGTCCGAATGCAACACGCGTCAAAACTCGAAGCCGAAGGTTCATTAACACGTTTCCTCCTTGCTCCGCCTGCATCGCTCGAACGGAGTGACTCGCTTGGAAATGGAATTTCCGTAGCCGAGATGGCTGCTGATGCAATCTCTGGCTGCCACAAATCCGAACGGATGTTCCGGAACCGCCGCTCGATAAAATCTAATTTAGATTCGTCTTGGTCCGGGAAACGGTGTCGCAATACGACGCCTCCACTAGTATGGGATAATACTATGTATTATAAATTATTTAATATTATTTATGAATCAATAAATTATTTATTAATTTATATTTGTATTATTAATTCCTATCACATTCGGGAAACAGTGTATGCACACCAGTGACTACAGATACGAAAAAACTGGACATGCCATTGTTCTCGAGGGCTCATGATTTTGGGGGTCTCAGACGCCCCCAGCTGAAGTTAGGTCTGCATGAAGAGAGCACAGTTGGTGATAGTTGTAGATGATTTAACAGTTCACCTTCCACATTTATTATACATCCCAGCATTCCTTACATAGCTGCATCCTTTACATCGCTGCTTTCTTTATATCCCTTTACCCACAGAACTACCCTTTACATCTCTGCTACGCTTACACTCCTGCATTACTTACATCCCAGCATCCTTTACATTTCTGCTTTCTTTACATGCGTGCTTCCCTTTCATCTCTGCATTCCTTTCATCACTGCATCTCTTACCTCACTGTATGCCTTACATCCCTGCACCCCTTACATGCATATATGTCTTATATCACTGCATTCTTTACATACCTGCTTTCCTTATATCTCTTTATCCAGAGATGTACCCTTTACATATATGCTACCTTTACACTCCTGCATTCCTTACACCCTAGCATCCGTTACATCCATGCACCCTTTACATTTCCGCTTTCCTTATATGCCTACTTCCCTTACATCTCTGCATCCCTTACATCACTGCATCCCTTACATCATTGCATCCATTACATCACTGCATTCCTTACATCACTACATCCTTTACATCTCGGCTTTCCTTACATTCCTGCATCCTTTACATCTCTGCATCCCTTACACCTCTACATGCCTTACACCCCTGCATCCCTTACATCGTTCCATCCCTTATATTTCTATATCTTTTGAGTAAGAAATCGTTACAAATTTAGTTCCGATTTTTACCGCCAGATGGCGCTGATTAGAGGTTGAGATTTTAGTTCACATTTTTGCCGCCAGAGGGCCAAAAATGGTACATGATTTAGTTCCTTTTTCCAAAACCAGATGGCGCTGATCGGACATTGAGATTTTAGTTCACATTTTTGCCGCCAGAGGGCCAAAAATGGTGCATGATTTAGTTCCTTTTTCCGAAACCAGATGGCGCTGATCGGACATTGAGATTTTAGTTCACATTTTTGCCGCCAGAGGGCCAAAAATGGTGCATGCTTTAGTTCCTTTTTCCAAAACCAGATGGCGCTGATCGGACATTGAGATTTTAGTTCACATTTTTGCCGCTAGAGGGCTAAAAATTCAAAATTGACAATTCAAAAATTGAATTTACTTACCTTTACTTACCTTTATTCGAACCGGTTTTTATAATATATTGTTATATTTATGATATATGTATTACAAGGGTTCCAGGGATGTAAGGGATGAAGGGATAATAGGGTTACCAGGATGTATGGAATACCGGGATGAAAGGGTTGCAGAGATGTAAGGAATGCAGGGATGTAAGGGATACAGAGAGGTGGGAATGCAGGATTGTAAGGGATGCAGGGATATGAAGAAAACGGAGTTGTAACAGGGATGGCCCCGCAAGTCTGAAACGGGGTCATAGGGCCGCAGGGTGCCGGGGCTGGGGCCCCGGTCTCCATTGCACGCGGCCCGAGGAGTGCCGGCATCGGGTGTGGCCCCCGATGTTGGTGAAGTCGATACATAGGGAAGGGTTAAAGGCTAGAGTCTAGACCTACTCCCGAGATTGGGGCGCCAGTGCCCCAGGGGTGTGGGGTCCTGGAGCCCCCCGGTATAGCCACAGTGCAGGCCACCGTGGTGGTTTTAGTGGGTAAAAATCCCACACTACCTCCGGCCCCTCCCCAGTGGGGCTGGAGGTGTCTTTTTGAAGATTTCCACCACGTAAAAAAAAAAAAAAAAAAAAAAAATCGATTGTAACGGATGCTGAGATGTAAGGAATACAGAGGTGTAAGGGTAGCAGAGATATAAAAGATGCTGAGATATAAAGAAAGCAGGAATGTAAAGGATGCAGTGATGTAAGAGGAATGCTGGGGTGTAAATAATGCAGTAATCAAAGATGTAAAGGAATCAGGGATGTAAAGGATGCACACAGAGGTAATATAAAATCACTACGTTCATCCCCTTAATTAGTTTATTCAATAAGTGAAGAAGATAAATACAGCAAATTAAATAAACGCAGAAAATAAAATAAAGGTATTTACATGTTTAACAAATACATCCGTACTCCTCGGCGGTCGCTATAAGACTGTGAATATCTCACGTAGCTCTAATTAAATAAACGCAGAAAATAAAATAAAGGTATTTACAAACAGATACATCCGTACTGCTCGGCGGTCGCTATAAGACTGTGGATATCTCACCTAGCTCTAATTAAATAAACGCAGAAAATAATATAAAGGTATTTATATATTTAACAGATATATCCGTATTCCTCGGCGGTCGCTATAAGACTGTGGATGTCTCACCTGGCTCTAGTCAAACTGTCGACAGCAGTCGTGACGTTGCGGAAATTTGTTAAATTAAATAAATAGCTGTGCCAGGGAATTCAGTAAATTAAATAATAACCCAGTTTCTTTTTTACAATAGCTCCTGGAACCACGAATTAACGGACGATAGAAGAAAACAATGAAGTACATAACGCGTGAAAGGAAGGTGGAACACTGCGTCGAATTGGCGAGCGTGCCAGGTGTTCTTCCGGTCGGCTAATTATTAGCGGTTTCTAATCGCGTGAACGTGACATTAGTATAGGCTACGAGACTCCGTCGACGCGTGGTTAAACGAGTATTTGCTGTTCGACACGTTAACATGCAAGTTCACGCCGTGAACAATGGGCTAACTGTATTCCAGCAACAAGGTTTCCACGGTTCTTCGGGCTTTTCTGCCGCCTCGCGAATCGTCGTGTCGCCTTTCTTCTCCTTCTCTATCTTTGCTTCTTGTTAACTGAATGAATAGAATACCAGGTGACTGCACTTTTCATCATTTATTTTATATTAGGTGACGACAGAAGGTATCGAGATTTGTATTCGAGAGAGAGTTTAGGAGGTTTGATGCTGTAATGAAACAAAAAATAAAATTAATTTACAATCATGCAATTAGTACCCATGGTTAGTTTGGAAATATTTAGACTCGAATTTTGTAACTTTTGTTACTTCGAACGTATGAATAAATTTAAATATTTAGTGTTTCGTATAATTATCTTTGAGAAGTAGAATTGTCTTACCTTAAAATTACACGGTATCGGTGATGCATCAGTCGGCAATGCGTTGATGGCGTTAGTTGCTAAGCACATTTTCTGTGATCTTTCCCAGGGTCTGGATAATGATGCTGCAATTATTGTTTTTAGGTAGTAAATTGCTCCGGAGGATATGGGTCGAGATATAAACCGTTTTGAACATAATGCCTTGTTCAATTCCACCGTTCTACTTGTAGTTGAGGTTTAAGATAACTATACTTATTTTGAAGTAATCAACCTATAGCCTGCGGTGTGAATTGTTTAATAGATAAATATATGATGTTAGTAGTACATTATATGTTATAGTACATATATTTTTAATTATAAAATTATTACCTGTACGATGTTCTATTTAATGTCTAAAAGAATCTCATAAATATCAATATCTTCCGAAAGCGTCGATTTGCATCTCAAGTGACAGCTCGAAAACGGGGGTGGCCGAGGAGTCAACGCGTCTCCCTGTACAGATTCTATTAGCGGAATCGTGAAATCGGAAGGAACTGTTAACGAGAATCACGATTGCCCGCGAGAAACGATAAAATAGCCGCGGCACGATCCAAAGAAACAAATGGTTTGTCGTTATTTGCACACAATGACCACAGGGAACCGTGGCCGTTCGTGAGTGAAAGACGAATGGCTCGGTATATCCTCGTACCGCCGTGATTTTCACAGACCTATCGCCGTATGCTTTTGACAGAAACACTTTGAAACCTCGGCACAGATTTGCATGGATTACTTTACTTTAATTTTCCCTGGTTCGGAAGAAAAGGATACATTTTTACATCCCGTTTCCTCTGCTCATTCCCTTTTGCATTTTACATTGTTTCATACATTTGCCATACTTTTACAATTTTTTGCTCGAGTCTGTGTGTGTGTCCCCTTTTAGTCGCCTCTTACGACAGGCAGAGGATACCGTGGCCGTATTCTAATCCCCCCGAGCCACAGGGGTCTTGCATGGATCGATTCGTTTCCAGGATGTTGGAAAGTTCAGTCTATTCGAATAATTTCAAATTGAGAATCGAACGATAATTTCTTTCTCGATGTAAAACAAAAAAAGATATAAGAAGAACCTTTCGAATAACTTAATCGATCGAAATTCCTTCGCCATACACGTGAACTTGCTTCGAACGCGTTCCCAGAAGAAGATGGACGAGCGTGACGGTTCGCTTCCGCTTTCGAGGTTGAGAGCGGGCCGAGGCACCGAAACCTGTCGCGTTCATTAATCTGCCGTGTCGCGGGAAGAGTAAAAACGGCGAAGGATCGGTCTCATCGAGTAGAGCGGGAAAAGGGAACGGGAGACAATCAAGAAGGGCCGCGATAATAAGGATTCCCGTAAAGGTCGTCACGAATCGCGACGCAGCGGAGCCAGGAAGCGGTTGAAGAAACCGGCATGTACGTTTGCCGAATACCAACGGTTCGTTTAACAATTTTCGGGACGAGGGAAAGGGGTATGAGGATTCGAGGGAAGAAAAGGAAAGAAGGTTCCTTGATGGATTCTGCAGATACATCTTCCGGTGACGGTAAATCGCGACGATATCGAAGCGTCAACGCGAAATGATACGAAATGAAATTTAATGTCGCGATTCGTTATCACGCGATAACGTGGCTCGCAGGATCTTTGATCCACGGTGACACGGTATAAATAGAAACCCGCTGCCTGTACAGGCCTAACCACTCTCCCTCTCTTCTCCTCTCGAACATCGTCGTCCACCTTTTTCATCTTTCACCTCATCGTCTTCCACATTCCTCGCCTTTCTCTTCGTCCTTCTTCTACGGTGTTCATCTTCCAGCCAGTTGCCCGTTTCTTCTTCATTTTCCTCTCTTCGCCGGGCTTCTTGCGCCTGGACTCGTCCCAGCGGCCCTTGGCCGGACCAGGCCCGAGGTAACCTGTTATTTCAGGACTGCGAATCACCCGGCAGTTTTTACGGGCCTCCCTCGGCCCACTATAAATATCGAGGCTCCCTTTTGCCCGTGGCTGCCGTCGACGTCGAATCAAACCCTGGGTACTCCCTCCCGGCCCGGTTCGTTTCTTCTTCTTCTTTTTCCTAGAAAATTCACCGCGACACGTCTGTCCGTGGCATCTGTCGCGCGACGAGTGGCCTGGCAATTAGACAGGATCGCCAGCGACTCGTACGTCTTCTTCCTCGGCTGACGAACACGCGAATGCCGAGGGAAGAAAAAGCAAGATCCGCGCGAGCCTCCGATTCCTTCTTCTTTCTTATTCCCAGAGGACGGGGTGACTTTAACTTTTGAATTTCAAGGATAAGGTGGAGGGAATTAGAAACGGGTTCGATTGGACGCGGGCATCGATTCGTAGCGGTAGTTGGATTAATCGAGAACGGTATCGGCGCACCGGAAGCGCCAGTCTCCCGGATCACCGAAGTTAAGCTGCATCGGGCACGGTTGTTGGATAGACGAATGATAATCTCGAGATTCCATGCTCTGTTAGCTTTACGGTTTCGAAACTATTAAAAAACTATAAGCCACGGTAATTAATAACACTGGGCGAAGGTATATCTGATCGAGATACTTTACGCTTAGAAGCTAAGTGAAACGAATCGTTGAAAAGGATTCTGGAATCATCGAGGTATCATCGGTGGAGGTGGTCGGCCAAGAATATCGAGTAGAGTCCTCGTGACTCCATGCCGCTTCCTCCGTGTAACGCGATTTCCGATAACGAGCCGGGCAATTATTTCGATGCACCGCGATGGGCCGCATAAATATCGGCAAAAACGACTATTATTCGCGGCGGCCATTGGCGAACAACGCGGCGACGAGCGAGCCGCGGAGTTAACGGTCACGCCGTTGTACGGTGCGTGGCTGATTAATAAATCCAGTTAACGGGGATTTATTTAGTCAGATAAACATCGTGTGCACCACGCTCTGGCTTATCGTAATTAAATTTATGCGTCGGCTACTGATCGAGAAACTGTTCGTTCTCTGAATCTTAATTAACGAGGAGATCGTGCGCGAGTTCACCGTGAACGGAAGCGTTTTGTGGGAAACCTTCCTAACGATTGTCTTTCCCTTCGTTCGGGAAAAATCAGATAAAGTTTCGACGTTTTTTTTGTGTCGATCAAAGAAAACGCCACAGATTTGGGACGAAGGATACGATTATCGCGCAATCAAACTGTTACGTTTTCTCGCAAACTGGGAAAATGATCAAACTTACCGCGAGAGTATAGAGGAAGTGAGGAGAGTTGGATTAACACCTCTTCGGAGGGAAGCTGAGGTTCGAACGAAGGCCAGGATCACGGGGAAAGACCCCTTTCAGCGAGGGAAGCACGTCCTGGTCATTGATATTCCACAGGCATCTTACTGAGTAGCTCTGATTCTAGACGTAATTCATGGAATTCTTGTTTCGGACAGACCAGGAATCCCTATATTCCAGCACGCCAACCGCATTCCCGATGAGTCTAGCTCGTGTCGGCGAAAATTTCGTGGAACACGCGACCGGATTTTCCGACCCATCTTGCGACCATACGAAAGGGAAATTTACGATCCCGCGTTTTTAACCTTCAACCGGTGCTCTAGAATTAGAGAAGATCCATCTGGTATGTTTAAAACGATCTATGTCACGAAGCTACACGAAATTCCAGCCCGTCCGACTCCGTTCGAGCCTACAACTTTGATTAATTCACAAATTTAACATTAATTAGCCCAATTCTTAAATACTCTAAATCCCAATTTGTTAAAGTCGGATTTATTTTCCTGTTCAACAAGATTCCAAATCGATCCTTGCGATTATTGCGCGCGTCAATTTTTCAGGCGAACAAAGTCGCGAAACTTTCATCCCGATTCGAAACGTCGCGGTTTGCGTCGCGTAGCTGCGAGTTTCTCTCGCGCGGTTCGCCGAAACCGTTAACTTGCATCCCGGTTACGCCGCATCCGGTCGGCACGTGGGTCAAACCGGAGATTAATCAGGTCTCTTTGTCTCGGCGAACAGGCAGCCACGGAGATAAGATCGCCGATAGACTCGATGGGAAAAGGAACGACTCGCTTCACGTATCGCTCGCGATTTAATCCCAGCCTCCTGACGGTAGTTCACCGAGAAGAGAATCTTGTCGCCGATCCGTTTACCACGATACGTACAAGTCGGCGTGTGTACGCGCCAATTAACGAGGCACGAGCCTGGCGAACCTCTACTTTCTTTTATTTCAATGGAAATCACCTATCGAATAATCCGAATTCAGATCGAACGAAATTTAATTACAAATTGCTTAGAGTTACCTAATTGTCGATGGACTAGGATCAGAAAATGTATTATAATACCATTTGTGAACCTTTTGACCTACCCTCTGCTGAGTTAACATTTGGACTTCCACCCTGGGGAGGTAGTTTGAAACGTTCCTAGGGTCGGATTAAATGGAGTTACGGTGTTTGTGGAGCAGCTGGAAGGTGAAATAGGTAAATCTACTCGATTGGAATATCTCTCTATGGGTGGGAAGTAGAATTCATCCACGGTAACCAATGTTTGTCCTAAGAGGCAATCAAAAGGGAACCTTCGATTATACAGAAAATCGGAGCAGATGAAAAAGTTACTTACAAGGGGAACTACCCACTTTTTTTTAAATGATAATTTGTCTCTTTTTGAATAACTATTACATAAAAATTATCATTATTAAAAAAAAAAAAAAAAAAAACCGTAACCCAGGATTTGAACCGAGGACCTTTAGATTACGAGTGTGGTGTCTAACCACGGAGCAGATTCGTGACTTTCAATTTAAAGGTCCTCGGTTCAAATCCTGGGTTACTGTTTTTTTTTTTTTTTTTTTTTTTTTTTTCAAATAATGATAATTTTTATGTAATAGTTATTCAAAAAGAGACAAATTATCATTAAAAAAGAAAAAAAAATGTTGGGAATCAAGAATTTGAACCGTGGATCTCTAGATTGCGAGTTGTATGTGTGAGTCTGTCATACTTCTCAATGTAAGTAGTAACTAATTTTAATTATTAATATCTTTTAAATAATTAGTCGTCTGCCCACAAAACGGGTAACACTTGGGTAGTTCTCCTTGTTGGTACTCTATTATTCAATTCCGATGGTAGTAAATTACCGTCAATTTTCTTTTTCAAAAAGAATCCTTGAAAAAGGTGAGGAAACTTGGAATATCTCTCTATGGATGGGAAGTAGAATTCACCTACGCTAATTCATGTTTGTCCTAAGAGGCGATCAAAAGGGAACCTTTGATTATACAGAAAATCGAAACAGATGAAAAAGTTACTTGGTACTTTATTATTCGATTCCGATGGTAGTAAACTACCGTCAATTTTCTTTTTCAAAAAGAATCCTTGAAAAAGGTGCGGAAACAAGTGTAACGTATGAATCCGTCGTGGATCACGATGATTTCCATCGGGGAATTACGATGATTGTCACGCGAACGCCTAACCGTGCAATCATCGCGCGTTCGCCAATATGTAACTGCTT